GTATTAACACAATGTGCATGAAACTGAGTGAATCTCGCTCTGGGCATCAACCTTTCATCTAGAAAATAGATCAACACTCCCAGGCTCCACTGTTTTGTGGTAAAATCTCATCCACCGTTTTGCAGTAACACTTGTTTCATTTATGTAGGTGAGACAGGAATTTAGCTGAAGGTTTCTCCCTTCTAGGGACCCAACCCATCAGCATCTGTGTTTATCGACTGTGTTGGGTCCAATGTTCTGGGGTCAGAGCAGGGATGGGTTTAGCTCAGTATCATTTTTGTATCATCCATTTACTCTCCCTCGGCCTCACTGGGTCTCCAGGAGGAGAATTCCCCTCTAACATGAACAGCCATATTTTGGAACTGATGGAGCCCTTAGCCAGATGTTCTGTTTGTCTGTAACCACAGAACACATTTACTCTCATTGTTGGGATCCAGACCCAGGGATCTGAGTTATAATTCTGGATGGGGGGAGAATTTTGATGCCGTCTCACCTTTAGCAGCTCGACAACTGGTTGCTGACACTTCTCCTCGATCTCTGTGATCAGCTGCTGCAGAGAGGAGCTTTGCAGGGAGAGTTTGGTGACATTTTCCTGTAGTCTCTGCAGAGTCTCCCTCTCCTCCTCCTCCAGGCTCTGCAGAAGCAGCTGCTCCTCCTCTCTCAGCAGCGTGTGCAGTTTGTTAAATTCACCTGCAATCGTCTCTCTCCTGTTCTTCACATTCCTCTGGAGAGGAAGGATAGGAAAGGCACATAGAAAACATGAGCCGGATGTTGAGTTACACGGACTGGGCCTCTGACCATGAAGCAGGGGATATTAGGTCAGTATCGGGTTTGTAAGGATATTTACGTACCATAAAGGGTTTGTTTTAGTTCAGAGTTAATAAGGCCAGTTCCACAGTGGGGTTGTCCAGGGTGCTTTGTAAAGCCGCAGTATGTTATTGCAGGTGGCATGGGATGGACACAGTGGAGTGGGGAGAAATCGAGGGAACAGGAGAGATTTACAGGGGGCTGCACAGGGCGTACGTGAGGGGATTTGGGTGCCCAGTGCTTTGCCCTCAGACACCACAGGGAGCCGTCACAGTGAGATGTGGGCGATGCTCCTTCTTTGACAACCTGCTCCCAGGGCTGCAAAGTTCAGGACCTTGGGCTGGTGCTAATAGTCCTTTGGGTGCCATCCTGGGGCTCACGTGGGTGTTGGGCACCCAGGGCATTGACAGGGCTGGCTTTGGCCTCACCCAGCCTGGTCGAGTGCCCCATGCCCATGTGTCTAGTGCCCGTGGGAGCGCAGCCTTTAGGGATCCCTCTAGGCTCACAGAGCAGCGGGTTGGCTGATGCCAGCTGTGTCCCCACCTGCTCTCTGAAAGGAGCCGTGGGAACGATGCTGAGCCGGTGCTGATCCTGGCTGCGGGAGGGGCTGGCTGCTCTGCACTGGCCTCTCTAGCTCCCCTGCAGCTCAGCTCAGTCTGTGCCCTGCGCTGACCACCCCCCCTTCCCTGTGCAGGGCTCTAACCTGTCTGTCTGTCCAGCCCCCTGTGTGGTGGGGGAGGGGCTGTGCTCCGTTTCTGAAGAGGCAGCTGCTTGAGTGCTGGAACTTCCACCTCCTACCTCTGCCCCGGCTAACCCGAGTGGCGCAGCGTTATCATATCTCCTAACATCTCCCCCCGTCAGACACGGACAGCGCATCCTTCATGGGGCCTGTCACCTCCCGGCCCTGCTCCCGCCCATGGGGATACCCCCACTTGGCTCAGGCCCATGACAGCCCCTCTCAGTGGGTGACTGGCAGCCCCTGCTGGACCTCGTCTCACAGTCGCTGGGGCTGCAGTTACTCTGCCGAGTGACTCTGATCATTGGGCCGTGACCTCTGGTGATGTAGGACGTAACTCACTCTCACGGGGCAATAATCAATGGTTTCATAACCACCCCAGTGACTGTCCCAAGGGGCAGAAGTCTCCATGGTGCCGGCTGGGCACTTTGCCGGACACATTCAAACCTGGGTGTTAATTGTTATGCACCCAAATCCCTATTGTCTGGGGAACTGAGCACCAACTGCTTCCGGTGTGGGCAGTGGGAGCTGTTGCGGTTCTGTCCTCTGGAAATCAGCCACTTCCGCCGGGCTCTAAATACGGCTTCAGATGCAGAACCAGAGGCACCCAGCTCTGAGCATTTCAGCTCTTGTAAATGGCCATTTTTATCTGAATAGTGGGACACCTACTTCTCCTCTCATCCCTGCTGCTGGCACCTTCCTCACACCCCCTATGCTCTCGGCAGGGATTTCACTGTAAAAGGCAGGTGAACCGGAACAGACATTGTGTCCCCTGGGTTCATCACCTGGCTACAGACAAGCACAGGTAAAGTCACAGTAGCAGGTGACTGGGATGAAGCGGCCACGTGATGGCAACAGAGGCTGTGAAGTGGCCGAGCGCTGCCTGGCTTTACTCTGACCTGCCCCTGGCTCTGCTCACTCAGGGGGTTTCCACACTGCAATGAAGGTGTGACAGCACCGTGTGTAGACACACCCAGACTAGCTTTGATCTGGCTAGCTCGGGTACTGGTAGGTATGAAGCCGCAGCAGCACGGGCTGTACAAGCCCACCCAGACCCCTGGGTGTTACTCAGTGACTAGCCTGCAGCTGGCTGTTGGGGCCATGTAGATGCAGCCTAGGGGCAGATTTTCCACAGAGCTCCACGCCCACAACTGGGTTTGATGCTCAGAAGAGCTCAGCTCCCAGCATGGCCCCAGCCCAGCCAGCTGAGTGACTCTGAACCTCATCCATGGGGGCAAATCCTCCTCCCAGCTCCAGTGTCTGGCCCAGGCACGGGGCAGATTCACTGCAGGGATTGTGGGTGCAGAGCGAGAAGGAACAATCTGTTTCCTCCAGGCTGCAAAGAAGCTGCAGAGCTTTGTCATGGAGGGCATTGAAAACTGATGGCTGGAGCAGCCGACACACCATCCCCATCTGCTGGAGGGAAACAGGAGCCATGGAATTGTGGAAACACTGCACCCAATATGGAGAATTTGCCCCTATCAGAGATCTCAGGTGTGGGTCTGCACCACTGTACAAGGGCCAGGAAA